TGCAGCCCAACCGTCGAATTAAAAATAAGATTAAATAACAAAATTATTTGTTAGCTTGAGCTTTCAAGTCTTTTTGAACCTATAAAGTATTAGAAGAATTTGTCAAACAAAAGATTGTTCTATAATTCAGAATGCTGTACACAATCATTCTTGTGTAAATAGTCCATCATTATATAAAGAACATTTAGTATTTAAATTTCTTCATTCCATTAATGTAAAATATTAAAGAACTCGATATGTTACCTTTTATCATATCATCACCATTATATTATGTTTATATTCATAATTTATTTGCAGATTAGTGAACTCTCTACAAGCTGGTTCTGTAAAGAAAGTCAATGAGAGCAAAATGGCTTTTAAATGCATGGAGAATATAAATGCTTTCTTGGAAGCGGCTAAAGCTATGGGCGTTCCTGCGCAAGAAACTTTCCAAACGGTTGATCTGTGGGAAAGACAAAATCTTAATTCTGTTGTCATTTGCCTACAATCATTAGGGCGAAAGGTAATACAATTCAAATATAAAATTCATTAATATACATGGCTTCATTAAAACAACGTCAATATTTCAATGTGAAAATGTATCAATAAATTAATGGATTACTTTTTCTTTAGGCTGGAAATTATGGTAAACCATCAATTGGACCAAAAGAAGCTGACAAGAATGTGCGCAACTTCAGCGAGGAGCAAATGCGTGCTGGTCAAGGTGTTATTTCACTACAATATGGCTCAAACAAAGGTGCTACACAGAGTGGCATCAACTTTGGAAACACTAGACATATGTAGACATTTACTTATTTAAAATTAGTTAGATATGTAAGAGACCAATTAAATAATTCCAAATTATATATGTATATAGACAATAGAAGCATGGCCTCACTCTTGTGATGTGCAATTGTTTAAACTTCCAATTTAAATATGAAATTATTTGTTACCAATGTATTCATTAATTTAACTTGATTCAAAATCACTATTTTTATATATAAAATATATTGTTCAGCAACTCATTCAACAAAATTTATTAATCAGTATTTGTAAAGTTTATATAATGGTTACATTTGCAAATTAAATAAAATTATTTTATTATTTGAAATAAAACAAAATTATATGAATAATGCAACTTTTATTTTAGTTCTAAAATATTTTGGACAATTATACTATGTTTTTTTTATTGTAATATTTAAATTTATCTTTGGAAAGGATAATAATCCAACACGCTTTTCAGTTTCAACTTACGGTTTGGACTTTTCTTAGCCTGTGCTATTAATGCTTGTACTTCAGTTCTATAAGCTGGCGGTAAAAGTTCTTCTTCTAATGTGCAGCTTTCAACTACTGAATCTTGAGTTTTGTATATACATTTCCGGATGATATCGATGTCTCTACTATATCCTAAACAAAAATCGTGGTTTAAAATCATTGATAGTTGATTGAGAGAATATGAGATGTAAGAAAAACTTAATAAAATTCAGATTAAAGAATTTTCAAAACTGACACAGGAGAAACTATTATTCAATATCACACTCAATATATAAGAGTAAAAAATATAAGGCAATGACTATATGTTTATGTAGATGCTAACAAATGCAGATGTATTGATTTAAAAATATTTCATTGATAAGAATATAAGGTAATATATTGATATTCATTTTTCAACTACGAGATATTATCAATTTATTAATTAGTTATCTTTTTGTTTTGAAATTGTGATTTTATATCGAGAAAGTAATTTATGTGAAAAAATGTATGTGTAAATTTATTAACGAGTAAAGAATATTGAAAGAAGTTTAAAGAATTTCAACTAAGATTAGTTTCCAGCTTCGTAGTTAGTTTAAGTTAATTTTTAGCTTTCCTGATGTAGTCCAAATGTAAAATCAACTTTTGTTAATAGACAGTAGGCAATTTAGATAACCATCGGTAAAAAAGAGTTGTTTAATCCATTGTGTTTGGCGTTTGTTGAAAGATGGAAAATTTTACTATTGCTAAGTTAAAGAGGCGTCTTAAGTTCACGAAAATTTGAGCTATTTATGGCAACAAAACCTTAAAAAATATTGCTTTGCCAAATTTTGTTCTGGTGATTTTTCACTCAAAGCTGAAAAACGCTTTGGTCATTCAGTTGAAGTTAAGTCTACATTAAACAACTAACAAAGTTAAAAAATGCTGCTGAAAAAAAGTGGCCTGAATTGGCAAATTGAAATGGTGAATTATTCCATCATTGACATCACATATATTTGGCAACTCGACAATAATTATAGGAGCTTGCTCGGGATATTTTACTATATCCACCATACAGTCCTGATATTGCACCTTTTGATTACTTTTTTTTTCGATCTTTACAAAACTTCTCGAATGGTAAACAATTCAATGATTATAATGGTGTCATTATGTACCTGATGAAGTTTTTTGCAAAGGTAAACCAAAAGTTTTATAAAAGTCAAATGATGATGCTGCTTGAAAAATGACAAAAAGTAATTGATTAAAATTAACAATACATCACGAGATAAAGTAATTTAGTTCCATAGAAAAAATATCTTTGATTTTCTAACAAAAGTCCGCAATTACTTAGTTGCGAACCTAAAACAAGCTCAAACAAGTAAAATATTAATATTAGTAATGAGATTAATTAATATATTTTGGAAGAATTTATGTAATTAATTTCTATTCATTTGCTACATAAAATTAAACAGGATATTCATACTAAAGAAATTATTCAATCAACTTGTAAGACTTATGTACCTTGTTGTCACGTTTTATTGCCACATTCGAGTTAATCTATGTTACTATATAACCTTTTCTAAATTGTCCAAATTATTCAAAATTTTTGATATCTTAAAGAATTTATTAAACGTGAATAAACCAAACAATACCTTCATGTAAATCAGAAATTGCGTTAGGAGGAGAATCAAATGTCATTAAAAAATAATTTCCTTGTCGATACACTTGTCCATGTTCACTCATTTTAAATGGAAGGTCTCTGGCTCCCAAATTTTCTATTTTCCTAATAACTCCTCCCTTATCGAATATGGATTCTGCTGTTCGTTTTAGCGTAGAAAATATCTCATTCTGCAGTAACAAAAATAGGGAAATGACAAATGTTATTACACAGAGGATCTATGAATATATAATAATGATATACACTACCCTTGGCATATTTCTTAATATTAACGATAACTCATATGTGATCATCTTGAATTAATAAGTTCAAGAAAATAAAAACGAAATTATGCAATTATATAGTTGACAAATACAATTGTTCTAACCTATTTACATGTGAGGTTTAAGATTGAAAGACACGTTGGCAACCATATGACTGTAAATTTGTTTATGAGCGCGTTATTCAAATTTGATTTGAAAGCGGGAATTTCAAACCAAAAATTTAAATATTATCAATCATTACAAGCTTCCACCTGCTGAATGTATCATATAAGGCCATAACTGGCCTTAAGATATATAAAATATCTTAATTCGATTATTAAAGAACACACTTGGTGGTTCAAAACACAGATGGTTTTCAAATATTATTTAAAATTTGGAAATAAATAGAAAATAGTAGCGATTTTATTATTTTCTTTTGATAATTTTTAATATTGCAAGATGTCGAAGATAATTTTAATATCTATTTGCAAATATAATACAACAAATATTAGTATATAATTAAATTAACTTTACATGGAACAATTATATTTTCATTAATATTATATTAAATGAACTAAAAATTTTAGATTAATCTATATTGCTGAAGCTAGTTCAGTATTTATTCATTCTCCTTTTTTGATAATATAAAATTTATAAAACTTTTGTATGTTGTAGGCTAAAATCTAACTAATTAAATTACCTTTGCCAGCATCTCCTGGTTCTAATTTGATCAAAACATCAAAGAGTACAATCATTTTATACTTCTTTATCTATGAATAGAATGATTTCAATTTTTGTTATTCTCCTCTGAATCACTCACAAATGTAATAAGTTAAAGACATGCATCAGGTTCCTGAAAGTAATTTGATACAAGATTTTTATTATTTCTAAAAAAGAGACATCCTTAATAATCAATCTTTATCAAACCAAGTTTTCCATAATTCCACATGTGAATAATGTTTCTTCAATATTATGCAAAGTATTAGTCTTAATCTCGAAGCAATCAAGTATAACTTTCAAAGAAGCGACATAAATTTGTTGTAATTTTACATCCATAGTTAAACAATGTTGATCATAACTGTAACTATTATACGAAGACATTTCCATTATGATACTTAATACATTTTTTAGAGTAATAGTAACTTTGCTTCATCACTCTTCTTCATTTTGGTTTTAGAGTTTAAAAAATAAACACTTTGATATATATTATATTGCTGATCCTACTGGTTTGTTAGATTAAATTATATATGTACTTATTTTGTAAATATAAATTTAACATAGTCATATATTTCAAATTCATTCTTTACTAGCATAGCTCGATTGACATCTTGTGCATCTTTGAAACCTTGGTATCATTGTTATTATTTTTTAGTTTACCATCGTCTCAATCACCATCACTTTCTATGTTACTGTATTTGTAAATTTCAAGTTTACTAACAAATTCTTCAAATTTCACATATTAACTGAAACCATTGTCACTATAATACATTCCGTACTTCTGTATATATATCCCATAAAAGAGCATGACAAAGTTTACGAAAGTAATGTAACTTTTTCTATTATTACTGAAACAAATGTTAATAAAATCATTATAATTATTCTTGTAAACTCAAATGATATCTTAGGCACATAATTCGCTTCTGGGGCAAAGAAATGTGTGAATGATATGTTTCAGAGGGTAAATGTCCCCAAAGTGTTAATAAAAATTTCAGATGCGATATACATATATATATATATATATATATATATATATATATATATAATATAAATGATATTCTACTAATTTCAAAGCCAATGAACATATAATTTTGTATTTAAATCTTCATAGCTTTTATAATCAAACATCTTTAGTAAATATAATTTTATAAATATATAATTTAAAATTTTGATAATGTAACATTAAATATAGCAAAATAATGAATACTGAATCAAATAAATGTGAAATTTAGCATGAATGTGATATAGTATGAATTTAAAAGTAATGATAATAAAAAAATAATATATATAGCGTAAAATTCGAAAACTTTATGTTTGCCGCCTTCACTCTTCTTCTTCTTCTTCCGCCTCTTCCTCTTCTTCTTCTTCTTCCTCTTCTTCATCCTTTCGAGAATTGTCATCTAATTTTTCTTCAACTATTTTTTCTTCTTTATCGTCTTCTTTAGTATTTTCTATGTTTTCCTCAGACTTCTCTTCAGTTGCTTCTTCGTGCTCCGTTCCATTTTTCTCATTAAAATCTTCATCAATATTATTCATACCTATTTTGTCGATGACATCGCTAACGGCGCTATTAACTTCATTTTGTTTGTTATTAATTTCCTCTTGTTTGCTGATTCTTTCTCCATTGAATTCATTCTCAATCTACAATGTTAAGAAAAAGGTTTATGTATATGATAAGTGAGTGATGCAATGATTTAAAAACATACAATAAATATATAAATGATATATAGAGTGTCCCAGAAATCAAATCTATCTTGCTTATTGAGCTTGTGCAAACAAAAAGCATTTAAACTGAATGTGAGTAAAATGTATTAGGAAATTAGTGGCGATTTTTTCACGGCTTTTATTTTATTAACTTCCCGTAGGGTAAGTTATTGTAATCATCCAAAAATCGAAATTGAAAATTTTCACATTTATTTACGTTCTGAAGGTTTCTTAACATTTGGGCATACCTAAGAAAAAATACATGTGTTTTTTTTTTGTATAGCGAAAGAAATGCCTTTATGCATCCCAGACTGGAAAATACATGTGTGTGTGTCTGTATGTATGGATACAATTTTTCGTCCACGTTTTCAGACGTACGGATTAACCGATTTGAAGGGTTTAAAAACATTCGATTCGAAACGGGAGATGTGCTGATTAGTTTTTGGCAAAGACGGGTCCAGCCGTTTCGGAGACGCGGAGCAAAGAGAAAATGAAAATAGAATATATATGCAGAAAATAGAAATCGAGTTTTCGAAAGAACGGAGCATCCGATTTGAATGATCCAAAAAACATTCAATTCGTAATGACGGGGAGAAGTGGTGATTAGTTTTTCGCAAAGGCAGGTCCACCCGTTACGGAGATAAAGAGCAAAGCATGCAGAAAATAGATATCGAGTTTTTGAGAGATCGGAGCATCCGATTTGAATGATTCAGAAAACTTTCTACTTATGTTGACGAAACAATTGCTTTTGGTAAAAAAAAATGTTAATATTATTTTTTTTTAATTTCAAAAAAAATTTGTTTTGAATATCGAAAGTAAATCGAATTTTTTTTTTTTTTTCTAGTTAAAGTTCTGAAGCTCACTAATATACTTCAAATAAATATTTTAACTTTGCAATTCAGTTTATATAATTCTTAAAAATTAGAATGTCCGACATTTTAAATTCTATTGATTAAGTTTTGTTTATTTAGTTTTCACACATATAAATTACAGTATTTATAATATTCTGTTTGAAAACATTTAATATTCCTCGAATATTTCATCACGGTACGCGAAGTTCCAGCAATTTGCCTTGAGGCACAATGCCATTCACCACTAGATTACTCTTTTCTTCTAGTTGTATAAAACCATATAAAACTAACAAGTATTTTACCATTTTGAATTTCTGATTAAATGCACAAACTTTTAATGGAACTAGTAAAGGCACAGTAGTAGATTGTTTTTAAAGGAGGTTTTTTCAAAGTCGAAAAGATAATGAAAATTTTAAGTTCACAGTTTAACAAATAGTGTCATTATTTTTCAATGTGGTCCCAAAAATTCCAAAGCTTAAATAAACAAAATCAATAAAATTAACTACAATAACCGAAAAATGGTCACAGTTTGACCAAAGCTCTAGGTTATACTTAAAAACTCATAATTTTCAAACTTTTTCATGATAGTTATACTTTGTTTCAGCATGACGTTAAGTTCTGGGACACCTTGTATAAAAAATAGAATAGTAAATAAACGTTATGAAAGTAACAAGTCCTTTCACAAGAATGAAAAAAGTTTGGAATAACATTTTAGATGAAGTTTAGAGTAATATTTATACTAACCCTTTCAAGTTTCAGAAATTCTTCAAGTTTGTCGATTTCGTTTGCAATATCAAACCCGTCATAATCTCCACAATAAGTTTCATCATTAAAAATCTGGAAATTATATAAATCATGAAACAGTTCAATCTAATGTAAGTTTCTCATACAATTACAAGAATTTACCTGAGGGGGCAATGGAACGCACTTTGTTTTCGTTTTCTCAGTAGTAACTGTAATAAAACATTAATTAATTATTAAATAAATAAATAAATTTCATTATTCAGATGATGAAAAATAAAGATTTAATTCAAAAAGAAGTAACAGAAATTTTAATAATATTTTTGTTTGCCATAAACATTTTAATAAAATAAATAATTTATTTATTAATAATTTGTAGAGAATGGAGTTAACTGGTATCCGTAACAAAAATATTTTATTTTAGAACCGACTTACTGTTAGTAAAATTCTAACATATTATGTATCAAGTAACAAGAAAAGTTTTACTGTATCGTGCTTAATTAAGTTTCATAATATATTATATTTAATCATTATAAACTTCAGATTATTAAAGCAAATCCTTTCAAGTTCTTTTAAATAATGTGGAAAAATTGCACTATATTGGCCCTATAATTATTATATGATTTGAAAACTTATATTTTAAGGCTTGTGTGTAAAAAATTCAATGTATGGTTCTCATAGAAACCATAGAAACGTGTGTCGTCGCACTGGCGTCCGCGAATCGCCTCTTAGATCTGAAAATCTGAAAAAATCTTAGATCTGAAATCTGAAAATTATAAGGTTTTGAAGCAAATTGTCATTAGGAATGTCAAATGGGATGTAAAGAATACAATATACGCATTTGTCCATGAAATAAAAAAAAAGAGCCTGCTCAAATCAGGTGCAAAGCTGAAATTTGTCAGAAATTTGAAAGGTGATGCAGTATGTTTGGTAAGATTTTAAAGGAGTTGTTCATTTTTCATCTTTTCCAGGATAACACAACAGTTAATTCTGATGCCTTATGTCATCAGCTGGATAAACTGAATGATATACTTCAATAGAAAAGGTCAGAATTAACCCACAACAAGGTATAGTCCTGCATTAAGACGAGGCAAGACCTCACAAAAGTTTGGTCAATCGCCAGAAGCTTTTGAAGCTTAAATGGGACCCAATGACACATTCATCACATTCTCCAGATCTGCCATCATCGGACCATTATTTGTTCCGGTCACTAAAAAAATTTTTAGGCGGTGAAATCTTTACCTCAAATCAGCCAGTCAAACAGCACTTTGATCAGTTTTTTGCCAATAATGACCAAAACATTTAGGATTTCGGTATTATGGTAATACCAGAAATATGACAACAGATTTTGATCAATGTTGCTAATACATAATTTATTAAAGTAATTGTTTATGAAAAATACATTTGCTGGTAACAATAACTTTCATCAAAAACAATTCAAAACTTTTTGATATGGCTTCGTCCTCCTCAAACTGCAACACTAGACATAAACTTATTAAGGCGCGTACATATAAATTAGCCAGCTCTTTCAATACGATCGACGGTCTAGGTATTCAGCTTATGAATAAACTTCCACTCAATATCCGAAACTTAGACAGCAAAAAATTTCATGCTTCCCTAGTCAAACTTTTTAAAAAATTAGCTTTTTATGACATTACTGAATTTTCTCAATTTGAATTCAATAACTATTTTCTTGCATAATCTTTATCCTGTATCTATGTAGTCTGACCATTTGACCGCCTGTACAACCATATTTTTTTTTTTTATTGCTATTTTATTAATTTAATTTTTTTACGGTTTTAAATGAGTATAACTTTCAACCTTGTGCAAGAATTTTGAGCTTGACTAGTGGTCAAATAGACTTTAATTTGATGAACTGATTGTATTTAATGTTCGAATGCTTTTTTTCAGCTCTTTTTTTTCAGAAGCGAAATTCGTGCAGCTGCTATGATTATTATAAAATTACTATTCTTTTAATATTAACTATGAATAAGCTTGACAAGAGCCTGAAATAATATCTATTATTATTGATTAAGGCTTGCTTATGAATAAATAAATAAATAAATAAATAAATACATGCAAAAATGTCTATAAAAAACAAAGTTACTTTCCGAACAACCCAATATATTAAATTTATATCTGGATATGGTTTGCACAATTTTCTGGCATACATTAATTGTGTAAATACAAGACTCGAGTACATAAATAATCTTGTAATATTTACACAATTATTCCAAGTTTTGTGCCAACTGCAACAGATGAACTTACAGATTATTATATGTTAATAGACTCAATATTACCATTATTGTCTCCAGAATTGTTAACACAGTTGTCTCTCATAAAGTCTCGTTGATCTTCATTTGCAGGCTCTGTTATATCGATAACCTCATATTTAATTGTTTTGCTATCGAGGATCATCAAAACTCTCTGCTGACGTTTCTTCACCTAGATTCATATTCAATTAATATAACTGTTGTAATTCAACTTTTGTGTAATAATAAAGCTTACTTCTTTGTTTCCTGACAATCCACTAACATAAACTTTCACCACCATTTTGGATAATTATACAACAACTGGATTTTGTGTTCGAAATACGCTATTAAAATGAATTTAGTACTCGATCCTGATTCAAGCCCCCATAAAAATCATATCCAACATCCCCCGCAGAAGAGAGTGATATAATATTATGGCAGTTTATTTACACTAAACTATGAATATATACTTAACTGAATTTAAAACTATTTACTTTAATTCATTAATAACAACAATTGATAACAATCTATATTTACTTTAACTTTGTTATAAACAAGAAATGTATTTTTAACTATTTTATATATAATTTTTTTTGGGGGCTCAAATGTCAGATATGTGTCATCATGCAAATAGATACATGTACTAATAGAGTAGGCGCTGGGTAACGGTTTGCTCGAAATATTTCAAACCGGTTTATTTACACATAAACACACGATTTTAAATACACACACACACACACACACACACACACACATATATATATATATATATATATATATATATATATATAAAATTGTTTCTTGGGCATCCATCCAGTAATTAAAAAAACAGTTTTATTGAAAAATGTTTCTATTTAGAGAAACATACGTTTCGGGTCTTGATTTGACCCATCTTCAGTGCTACAAATAAATATTTCAGGGATACAAATTAAAACAATATAAAATACATAATTACAGACAAAAATAAGTACAACAATGTATATGAAAAGTATATATGAAAAACAATATAACTATAACTATAAACAACAAACATATATATATATATATATATATATATATATATATATACATATATAATATTAAATTTATCATAATCACATTATCAAACGTCGAAGGACATATGTAATATATTTAAAATTTATATAAAATTATAATTAACGACTTTAATTGTCTTAATTTTGTTAAATGCTACATTTAAGTTTGATTGAATTTTTATAATAATAATTTTGTGTTTTTAGTTTTAAAATACTTTTTTCATTTCTTGACATTATTTTATTTATTTTATATATATATATATATATATATATATATATTTTAATTACAATATTTATTACAACTGTTAAATAATTAACATCTAGCAATAATGATAAATAATAACATGAATTTAAATAAATAAGAGTGCAAAGAATAGAATTTACATTAAAATAATATCCGTAGTATGATGATTTAATATAAAATAAAAACAAATAATAATAAAAAAAAAATAATAAATAATATAAATAAAATTTCTAAATAATAAAATAATACTAGAAAAACAATTTTATTTAAAAATGATACTCTTATTAACACATTCATTTATTGCAATCACAATTTTTTATAAAACACTCGTATTTTAATTCAAATCTTTACACAAATTGTATACCATTTCAAACTAGTTGTAAGTGGTATTTTGTTTTAAGATGAGTTACATAAAATTAACGATATGTGTAAATAATCGATTTAATCAATAAGTTTTCAAATAAAGTAAATTTAGAACTTTTTGAAACGTAATTAATTTTTATAATTAAACCACTTTTTGTATACAAAATTTTTTTAGGGCGTTTGTTAAGGTCTTGAACTCTATCATCAATAAAAGTTTCATCAAAATCGTATAACTTGTTTCCACAATATTTTACAAATGGTTTGGACAATCTTTTTCAATACAACTGATATCTTTAAAACAGTTTTTAAATTTTTAAAATATTTTTAAAATATCGAAAATTCAGGAATTTTGGTATCAGGAAAGCTGGCAAAAATGTTTCCACTTTTCTGCTAATTCTGAAGAAACTGCTCAACCGAGCGTTGCAAAAAATAAACAACATGAGTCCATACCGAGTTAATTCTAATGGCTTTTAAATTTTGAAAATCGGTGCAATCGTTTTTGAATATAACGGCTCCTATACACAAATGTATACTTTCCCCAAATTTGATCGAAACTCACACTTTTCTGCAAACACGAGCCCTTATCGAGTTACAACGTAAAGCTTTTAATTTTTTTAAATCTGTACAGCAGTTTTTGAAAAATACGTCGACGAGGTGTGATATCTTAGCTTCTATACACTAACCCACATATTCCCCAAATTTGATATCAACTTACATTTTTCTTCTAATTCTGAAGAAACTGCTCAACTGAGAAACTAATCAACACGAGCCCATATCCAGTTACATGTAGTGGCTTCTAAATTTTGGAAACCGATACAGTCGTTTTAAAAAAAACGTCGAGAAAGTGTGATATCTTGGTTTTGAATAAAACGGCTCCTATACACAAATGTATACTTTCCCCAAATTTGATCGAAACTCACACTTTTCTGCAAACACGAGCCCTTATCGAGTTACAACGTAAAGCTTTTAATTTTTTTAAATCTGTACAGCAGTTTTGAAAAATACGTCGACGAGGTGTGATATCTTAGCTTCTATACACTAACCCACATATTCCCCAAATTGATATCAACTTACATTTTCTTCTAATTCTGAAGAAACTGCTCAACTGAGAAACTAATCAACACGAGCCCATATCGAGTTACATGTAGTGGCTTCTAAATTTTGGAAACCGATACAGTCGTTTAAAAAAAACGTCGAGAAAGTGTGATATCTTGGCTCCTATACACAACCCAAATTTGATCTGAACTTACACTTTTCTAAAAATTCTTCAGAAACTGCTGCTTCTTAAAATCTGTCCAGCATTTTTGAAAAAACGTTGACGATGTGTGATATCTGGGCTCCTATACACACAAATACTTTTCTCAAAATGTGCAAACAAATTTTTTGCACTTTTATGCTTATTCTGAAGAGACTGCTCAAAAAATCACTAGTCGATAACGAGTTACTTTTAAACTAATGACTTTTAAATTTTTAAAATCTGTACAGCAGTTTTTGAAAAAACTTCGACAAAGTGTAATATCTTATCACCTATAGATACACACACACATACTTTTCTCAAATTTGATCTCAAACGGTTCAGAATGACTTGAAACATCGAGGAAACATAATATTAGCAAACCAGAATTTTTTGAAAATACATAAATGATCATTTGCTACTTACCAAACGTTTAAAAAAAAATCTTTGGTATATTGCTAGTTATATGTTTTATTTTAACCGGCATAGAATTGTTCTAGCAAATGTACACCAGTCGTTATACTAATGTGTCAGTTTATGTTTCATTGATGATATAAACTAACAACTACAAATACACCAAGATAATTAACTGTTTTTGTTATTATTTAAATAATTGCACATTCCTTTTGTTGTTATTATTTACATAATTGCTCTTATTGGAGAGATTTTAATTATATAATTTAATTATATAATATATTTAAATATATAACTGATGAAAAATATAATTGACTGATAAATAAATTTTTGTTGTACTGATTTTTTTTATAAAATTATATTTATTTTTTATTAAACTATTTTTAAATAAAACAATTTATAATTTTATTTTTACTTATAATTATAATAAAAGTACATAGCACACGGTAAAGGATTGATATATCTACTTAAACATTAAAATATTTATACATGTCTCAGTATATAGTTAAAATTATATAAAAAAACGAATTTCACTAATATGTAATATTAAAACAATTAACTGAAACTTTAATAATCAAATAATATAATAACTATATAATACAAATATTAAATACTATACATATCAATATATTATATTTTCTTTAAAATAATTAAGTTAAAGTAATTTTTCACTAATGACATAAATTTATATATTAAACTGAATAAATATAAAATACAATAAAATCATTTATTTAGATTAATACTTTTTCGTAATATTTCATACCAAATTCTAGCACTTTATAAAAAGGGCTTTTACAGACTATGAATTTCATCAGACTCATTTTACATATATGTAAACTTCTTTCTTCTAAATATTTGCACATAAATCGTATTTGCTAAGTAAATAGAAAAATACATGACTAACTAATCTCAAATTATTTGAGGCGACTTAATTACAATTACAAAAAGTGAGTCCAAGGCATTCATAAGAATTAGTTTATATACACATATGTGATGGAAAGGGGAAGATCTTTTCATTAAAAAATGGTCTTTCTAATTATTTGTCTAGGAAAATAATTTTTCAAATATGTTTTTACAATTGGTGATAATCTACTAAGTACATGATGAAAAAATATATGATACTTTTATTTTGATAGAATGATTTTTTTAACCAATGCGATGTGATTTATACCCAAATAACTATTTCCTTATCCACTAGTCACATATGTGTTCAATGCCATCTGTATAATCAGCGCATTAAAACATTCACACTAAAAAATCGTTTATTTTAGCACAAGTTTGTTTATCCATACCATTCTGATGATGGTTGGCAAAATAATCGATCATTTCGCTTGCTCTCTCGTAATAGTCAACATCTATTTCTCAGTACTAATAAAATAATGAATATATGTTCACACATATGCGCAAAATTTTATTTATAAATACTGGTGCCTAATGGAATTGATTGTAATCGGTTTTAAATGAATCGGAAAATTTGATAGGTATTTTTGTATATGAATATGATTGGAATTGAGGAATTTGGTATAGTTTGCAACCAATTCATCAAATTTGAAAATGGTAAATTGATTTTATATATTATTTTTATGTTTCGACTCTTGGTACGAGTAATCATTCAGTATATCTAAATTCACATTTTTTTATTTTTATATAAGGAATACAAATAGGATGCGTCCATTAATCAGGTGATGTTTTTAGGAGAGAGAATTTTTTTTTAAAAAAATCCAAAAATCAAATAATTAAAAAAACAAAATTTTTTTCATAACTAAAATACACGTGATGTTTGTGGGGAAGGGGGGAAGGGGAATATTAAAAAATTTTTGAATATCACCACCTATCACCAAGGGGTCCAAAATTCTCTTAAAAAATTGATCCCGTGATTAATGGACGTCCCCTTATTCAAAAAATTTAAAACATTAATTTTAAAATTTATTAAGTAAAAATATATGTACCAAATCAAGAAAAACTAAAACACAAACTTTGAAACAATACTATTTTTGAAAAATAAAAATTTAATAAACAATAAACACATGAAAACCACTACTACTTTATAATAAAAACTGATAAAAAGATCATCCTGGTGATAGTGACCATTAGGTCGGTTTGATGTAATGTAACATCCTGATGATATCCTTGTTTTGGATATTTATAACTTGGCACGTTTTCAATTAATAAATTTTAAAATTAAAGTTTGAATATTTTTTAAAAATTTTATTCATTGTGTAAAACAAAAAAAAAGTAGTTTAAATCTACTGAATGATGCGCACAACAAGTGTTATAATGGATAATAGTCCAGTCATTTAAGCTTAAATTAGGTAAA